GGTCCCGGGCTTTTCCGTTTCCTTTTCAGGGCACCTGGTTTCCTGGGCTTCTCGTTATCAATCACATAGACTGCTGGATTTGCCGGACCTCCCGTTTTCCTCTTTCGGGGGAACCTGTTGGGTCCACCTGCTTCCTCGTTTCCTTTTCCAGGGGCAACCTGTTTCCTAGTTTTCCGTTTGAATCAGCTCGAGTTCCAGCCCTACCGTTCCTCTTCAGGGGTGTCGGGGGTAACCATTCGGGTCTCCTGCTTTCCGTTTCCTCTTCAGGGGCAACCTTTTTGCGATCTCTGGCTTTCCGTTTGGCCTCTTGAGGGGTGACGGGGGTAACCATGCGGGTCACCTGGCTTGCTCTTTTCCTCTTCGGGTTGACGGGGCACCTCTTGGGTTATATCGGGCAAATTGGACTGGGGCACCGTTTTGGGTCCTCCTGGCTTTCCGTTCCTTTTTCAGGCAACCTGGGTTTCCTGGCTTTCCGTTCATCACATAGTACTGCTGGATTTCCGGACCTCCCGTTTTCCTCTTTAAGGGGGACCTGTTGGGTACCTTGCCTTTCCGTTTCCTTTTCAGGGGCAATCTGGTTTCTTTGTCTTTCCGTTTTCAGGGCACCCTGGGTTTCCTGGCCTTTCGTTTCCTGGCATAGTTGATTGTTGAGTGTGTGAGGAGTGTGTGTTACTTTTTGATTGACAGGATTTTGTGTTTTCATTATTGAATGTCACCCCGCTATGAGAATGGAAACAACCATAGAAAAGAAAAGAAAAAACTTGTAATATATATACTTCCTGATCCATGTCCATTGTTGACATGGTATTGATAAGGTGAATCATGTGTTCTCATTCGGCCTTTGAAAAGTCCACTGTGACATGGCGCCTTCATTCTCTTCAATTAGACTTGGGGGTCTCACTATCTTCGGGCGAATATGGACGGGGGCACCACTCGGACTTCCTGCTTTCCGTTCCTTTTCAGGGGCAACCTGGTTCCTGGCTTTCCGTTTTAATCACATAGTACTGCTGATTTCTGGACCGTTTCCCTTTTCCTGGGCTTTTCCGTTTCCTCTTCAGGGTCAACCTGTTTCGATCCCTTGCTTTCTTTTTCCTATTCAGGGGCACTGTTCGATCTCCTGGCTTTCTTTTTCCTCTCAGGGGCAACCTGTTCGATCTCCTGGCCTTTCTTTTTGCCTCCTTCAGGGGCAACCTGTTCGATCTCCTGGCTTTCTTTGTTCCTCTTCAGGGCGAACCTACTTTCTCTTTCGATTTCCTCCTGGCTTTCCGTTTCTCTCTTCTTCCGGGTGACAGGGGCCAACTTTTTGATCTCCTGGCCTTTTCTTTTCCTCTGTCGGGTGGTCAACCTTTTCGATCTCCTTGCTTTCCGTTCCTCTTCAGGGGTGCGGGGGTAACCATTCGGGTCTCCTGGCTTGTCTTTCCTCTTCAGGGGCAACGTGGGTGTCCTGGCTTTCCGTTTCCTTTTCATCGGGCACCTGGGATTCCTGGCTTTTCCTTCCTCTTTAAGGGGTGAACGGGGGCCACCTCTTGGGTCTATTATCGGGCAAATTGGACTGGTGGCAACCGTTTGTGTCTCCTGGCTTTCCGTTTCCTTCCGTTTCCTTTTTCAGGACAACCTGGGTTTCCTGGCTTTTTCCGTTTCACAATCACATAGTACTGGTGGATTTCCGGCACCTCCCGTTTCCCTCTTTCCGGGGAACCTGTTTGGGGTCACCTGGCTTCCCGTTCCCTTTTCAAGGGGCAACCTGGGTTTTCCAAGTTTTCCGTTTGAATCAGCTCGAGTTCCAGGCCCTACCGTTTTTCCTCTTCCGGTGTTCGGGGGTAACCCATTCGGGTCTCCTGGCTTTCCTTTTCCTCTTCCAGGGGCAAACCTTTTCGATCTCCTGGCTTTCCGTTTCTCTCTCAGGGGTGACGGGGGTAACATTCGGGTCACCCTGCTGCCCTTTTCCCTCTTCATGGGTGACGGGGGGGCACACTCTTGGGGTCTATTATCGTGCACATTGGAACTGGGGCAACCGTTTGGGTCTCCTGGCCTTTCCCGTTTCCTTTTCAGGGGCAACCTGGGTTTTTCTTCCTGGCTTTCCGTTTTCAATCACAGAGTACTGCTGCTGGATTTTCCGGACCTCCCCGTTTTCCTCTTTAGGGGAACCTGTTGGGTCAAACCCTTGCTTTTCCTTCCGTTTCCTTTTCACAGGGGCAAACTGGGGTTTCTTGGCTTTCCGTTTCAGCAGGGGCAAACCCTGGTTTCCTCCTGCTTTCCCGTTTCCTCTTTAGGGGCAACCCTGCGTTTCCTCTGGCATTTCGTTTCCTCATTCGGAACAACCTTGCGTGGCTCCTGGCTTTCCGTTTTAACGCTCGTGGTGACGGGGGTTACATAGATTCGGGTCACCCTGGCTTTTCTTTTCCTTTTCAACGGGCAACCTGGTTTCCTGGCTTTCCTTTTTCCTTTCAAGTCAAGGGGCACACCTGGGTTTCCTCCTGGCTTTCCTTTTTTTTCACAGGGGCAACCTGGGTTTTTTCCTGGGTGCCGTTTGAATCAACCATCGAGTTCCACAGCCCTACCGTTTCCCCTTGGGTCCTCCTGGCCTTTCCTTTCCGTTTTCCCCTCTTCATGGGTGACGGGGCAACATTCGGGTCCCTGGCTTTCCGTTTTTTCTCCTCTTCGGGGTGACGGGGGCTACCTCTTCGATCTCCTGGCTTTTCCGTTTCCTCTTCGGGGGTGACGGGGGCTACCTCTTCGATCTCCTGGCTTTCCGTTTCCTCTTCGGGGGTGACGGGGGCTACCTCTTCGATCTCCTGGCTTTCCGTTTCCGCTTCGGGGTGACGGGGGCTACCTCTTCGATCTCCTGGCTTTCCGTTTCCGCTTCGGGGGTGACGGGGGCTACCTCTTCGATCTCCTGGCTTTCCGTTTCCTCTTCGGGGGTGACGGGGGCTACCTCTTCGATCTCCTGGCTTTCCGTTTCCTCTTCGGGGGTGACGGGGGCTACCTCCTTCGATCTCCTGGCTTTCCGTTTCCGCTTCGGGGGTGACGGGGGCTACCTCTTCGATCTCCTGGCTTTCCGTTTCCGCTTCGGGGGTGACGGGGGCTACCTCTTCGATCTCCTGGCTTTCCGTTTCCTCCTTCGGGGGTGACGGGGGCTACCTCTTCGATCTCCTGGCTTTCCGTTTCCGCTTCGGGGGTGACGGGGGCTACCTCTTCGATCTCCTGGCTTCCGTTTCCTCTTCAGGGGTGACGGGGGCTGCCTCTTCGATCTCCTGGCTTTCCGTTTCCTCTTCAGGGGTGACGGGGGCTACCTCTTCGATCTCCTGGCTTTTCGTTTCCGCTTCGGGGGTGACGGGGGCTACCTCTTCGATCTCCTGGCTTGTATATATATATATTCCTGATGCCATGTCCATTGTTGGACATGGTATGATAAGGTGATCATGTGTTCTCATTCGGCCTTGAAAAGTCCACTGTTGGACATGGCGCCTTCATTCTCTTCAATGAAGGAGCTTGGGGGTCTCACTATCTTCGGGCGAATTGGACGGGGGGCAACCACTCGGGACTCCTGGCTTTCCGTTTCCTTTTCAGGGGCAACCTGGGTTTCCTGGCTTTCCGTTTTAATCACATAGTACTGCTGGATTTCTGGGACCTGTTCCCTTTCTCCTGGCTTTCCGTTTCCTCTTCAGGGGCAACCTGTTCGATCTCCTGGCTTTCTTTTTCCTCTTCAGGGGCAACCTGTTCGATCTCCTGGCTTTCTTTTTCCCCTTCAGGGGCAACCTGTTCGATCTCCTGGCTTTCTTTTTCCTCTTCAGGGGCAACCTGTTCGATCTCCTGGCTTTCTTTTTCCTCTTCAGGGGCGACCTCTTCGATTTCCTGGCTTTCCGTTTCTTCTTCAGGGTGACAGGGCCAACCTTTTTGATCTCCTGGCTTTCCTTTTCCTCTTCAGGGGCAACCTTTTCGATCTCCTGGCTTTCCGTTTCCTCTTCAGGGGTGACGGGGGTAACCATTCGGGTCTCCTGGCTTTCCTTTTCCTCTTCAGGGGCAACCTGGGTTTCCTGGCTTTCCGTTCCTTTTCAGGGGCAACCTGGGATTCCTGGCTTTCCTTTTCCTCTTCAGGGGTGACGGGGGCAACCTCTTGGGTCTATTATCGGGCAAATTGGACTGGGGCAACCGTTTTGGGTCTCCTGGCTTTCCGTTTCCTTTTCAGGGGCAACCTGGGTTTCCTGGCTTTCCGTTTCAATCACATAGTACTGCTGGATTTCCGGACCTCCCGTTTCCTCTTTAGGGGGAACCTGTTGGGTCACCTGGCTTCCCGTTTCCTTTTCAGGGGCAACCTGGGTTTCCTAGTTTTCCGTTTGAATCAGCTCGAGTTCCAGCCCTACCGTTTCCTCTTCAGGGGTGTCGGGGGTAACCATTCGGGTCTCCTGGCTTTCCTTTTCCTCTTCAGGGGCAACCTTTTCGATCTCCTGGCTTTCCGTTTCCTCTTCAGGGGTGACGGGAGTAACCATTCGGGTCACCTGGCTTTCCTTTTCCTCTTCAGGGGTGACGGGGGCAACCTCTTGGGTCTATTATCGGGCAAATTGGACTGGGGCAACCGTTTGGGTCTCCTGGCTTTCCGTTTCCTTTTCAGGGGCAACCTGGGTTTCCTGGCTTTCCGTTTCAATCACATAGTACTGCTGGATTTCCGGACCTCCCGTTTCCTCTTTAGGGGGAACCTGTTGGGTCACCTGGCTTCCCGTTTCCTTTTCAGGGGCAACCTGGGTTTCCAAGTTTTCCGTTTGAATCAGCTCGAGTTCCAGCCCTACCGTTTCCTCTTCAGGGGTGTCGGGGGTAACCATTCGGGTCTCCTGGCTTTCCTTTTCCTCTTCAGGGGCAACCTTTTCGATCTCCTGGCTTTCCGTTTCCTCTTCAGGGGTGACGGGGGTAACCATTCGGGTCACCTGGCTTTCCTTTTCCTCTTCAGGGGTGACGGGGGCAACCTCTTGGGTCTATTATCGGGCAAATTGGACTGGGGCAACCGTTTGGGTCTCCTGGCTTTCCGTTTCCTTTTCAGGGGCAACCTGGGTTTCCTGGCTTTCCGTTTCAATCACATAGTACTGCTGGATTTCCGGACCTCCCGTTTCCTCTTTAGGGGGAACCTGTTGGGTCACCTTGCTTTCCGTTTCCTTTTCAGGGGCAACCTGGGTTTCTTGGCTTTCCGTTTTCAGGGGCAACCTGGGTTTCCTGGCTTTCCGTTTCCTCTTTAGGGGCAACCTGCGTTTCCTGGCATTCCGTTTCCTCATTCGGAACAACTCTTCGTGGCTCCTGGCTTTCCGTTAACGCTTCGGGGTGACGGGGGTATAGATTCGGGTCACCTGGCTTTTCTTTTCCTTTTCAGGGGCAACCTGGGTTTCCTGGCTTTCCTTTTCCTTTTCAGGGGCAACCTGGGTTTCCTGGCTTTCCTTTTCCTTTTCAGGGGCAACCTGGGTTTCCTGGATTTCCTTTTCCTTTTCAGGGGCAACCTGGGTTTCCTGGGTTTCCGTTTGAATCACCTCGAGTTCCAGCCCTACCGTTTCCCCTTGGGTCTCCTGGCTTTCCGTTTCCGCTTCGGGGGTGACGGGGGCTACCTCTTCGATCTCCTGGCTTTCCGTTTCCGCTTCGGGGGTGACGGGGGCTACCTCTTCGATCTCCTGGCTTTCCGTTTCCGCTTCGGGGGTGACGGGGGCTACCTCTTCGATCTCCTGGCTTTCCGTTTCCC